ACGTACTCGTCGTGTCCCATTTGAAAACGTAGGTTAATCACCTGGCGTGGATTGTTCGGGTGCACTATGCTCCTTAACACGTTCGCTACCAGCGTTTATTTCGGCGAGGACCTCCTCAATTGTAACATTTTATTCTAACCAATAAATCTTCTAAACAAAATATCGAAAAAATGAAACAGGAACAAGTTATCGATTTCCTAAATACAATGCCGTAGCTTATAATTTGAAATAACAATATCTATAAGATTAATTTCATTTGCTTTATGTAAAATATAAAATTGCACCTGTCACAAATATGTGACGCTGCAAAACAAACAGAAAACATAATCAAATATTATATTAAGGTATATGTCTAGTAAACAATGAACGTGAAAATGTAACATGAAAATCGGACAGAGTTTTATTTAAATCGTGTTATTTAACAACCATTATAAATTATGTAAATAAAATTTATACTATTGTTTAATAGACACATACCTTAACATAATACTTGATTACGTTTTTTGTTTATTTTGTTAGAAACGAAGTTATGATCTAACAAAGTAAAAATCTCATAGTGTCTCATATTATGTTTTTTGTTTATTTTGTTAGAAACAAAGTTATGATCTAATAAAGTAAAAATCTCATAGTGTCGGAATATTAAAGTTATTCACTGTATTCTGGTGATGCGTTGATCATGTTTACTTGATAGATATAGTTTGTCCTTTTTCTCCGAGTAGTGAAAACCAAGCTAAAAATGCAGAGGGGCAAGGGGAATCGATCGCACGCTCCACCTCGTTCCTGCCAAGAAACATAACAGCCAAGCCTCTGTGTTCCTGGATTCAGCAAACCTAAAAAGCTGCCACCACGCCGAAATGAAATCCGACGCCAATGTTCGTGCATTTCACTTCATCGCGTTCCGATTCGCTTGCATCCTTTTTTGTGCAACTTGGCCAATAACAAAGTGTGTCGAAACGAAGTCGCCATAACTACCGGCCGAGCGCCACGAGTGGACGTCTCCCCTTGCCCCTGTACACTTTTAGCTTACTAATCGCTACTACAAAGAAAAGAGATGAATAGTAGATGGTACTTTACCTACCTGGCCGAGCGGAAAATTTGTGTTGGGGCCATTAATTTTATGATGCCCCGGTCTTCCGTGTTCGGTGCACGTCGCTGCATTATCCGGCGGTCTCCTATGGTCGGTACGATTGCTACTGTATGATACGATTGCGCTATGTTGCGATGAATCAAGTCGGCGTCGATTGTCTTATTGATACGTCTGGGAGGTTTCCTTAGTCAGAAACTTCACTTCTTATGCCTTCTTTTACGCCTCAACCCACGTTCGAGGCTTGCTGATGTACAGAGTAGAAAGGAATAATTGTACTTCTTTGTCGTAGCGTGATTCTATACCTTTGATTTGATGGAGATTGAGGTAAAGAAGCTGCTGCAAAATTCTCTTTGATCTTCCAAGAAAGGGTTAACATTTTTCAATGATCCATCGTATTCTACTCATCGCGGAGGAAAATAATCTCACAGGATCCATGGGTAAAAAATGAATACAGGTAACCCTCCTATAACACGGTAGATAGGTTCCTAGAAAATGCCGTGTTGTGTGAAACCTTGTTATATGAGCCTCATCACCCTTCCCGTCATTATTCTAAGGTAATTTAGTTTTTTACCTCTTGGCGTACTATTTACTTTCGCTACTAAGCTCGTGTAACATTTTACTATCGACAATTTGGAAGAAATGCAACAAATTTGTCCATTCTACTTGAAGTGGAAATTTCATTTGAACATAATACATTGATAATAGCAAAATAGTTCTTTGCTTTGATCCGTGGGTAATGAACAACATTGATTGTTGTTAAATTAATCTAGAAATCTTTATCACGAATCTCACTCGTTATTGTACGGCAAGGGGTTAAGTATGTTAAACAAAAATCATGTTATCTAGTGTTGTAGAAGTACAGTATTATACAAAGGTTTTCGCAATTTTCTTATCGTGTTGGAGCGAAACTGTGTTGTAAGTTGCAGTGTTATACGAGGGTTTCCGCAATTTATCTCATCGTATTAGAGCGAAACGGAGATTGACGGAGATTGAGGTAAAGAAGCTGCTCCATCGTATTCTATTCATCGCGAAGGTAAATAGCTTTAGAGGAACCATGGGTTAAAAATGAACAGAGTATGATTCTTATAAATCGCTGTTGAATTTTGCATCAGAAAGTAAAGGAACGCAATATCGATTGTTCTTTTCTGATGCACTCCGTTCTTAATCACTTGCGCTGGCAACGAATTGAGAAACTCGACAGGATCTCGTGCGAAAAATGTTATCTTCGCATATTATATACAGATATGTACAAAAATGTCGTTTACCAATAATTTTGTACGAAATAGTAGATTCCAGAACAATCTGGAATATGTAATCCAATAAGACTATCAACGTGTACAATATGTCATTGGTAATTTTCGGACAAAAACATCACGATATGCGTAACACGTCTTTCCAGCGCAAGTGGTTAAGGAGAATGGGATCGACGTTGTTTATCGATCGGACCGTCGGCGAGTGGTATGGCCGTTCTCAGTTGGGCAACGGCGCGGCGACAGCCCGATCGGTAAACAACGTCGATCCCATTCACCTTAAAGACGGAGTGTATCGGAAAAGGACAATCGATATTGCGTTCCTTTACTTTCTGATGCAAAATTCAACAGCGATTTATAAGAATCATACTCTGTTCATTTTTAACCCATGGTTCCTCTAAAACTATTCACCTTCGCGATGAATAGAATACGATGGAGCAGCTTCTTTACCTCAATCTCCGTCAAATCGAAGGTGTAGAATCACGCTACAAGGTGCTACAATCATTTCTTTCCACCGTGTACATACAGTGAGTTTCCCTGATTAATTTTTGTATGTTAAAGTTAGGACTGCTATTCTAAATCTTACCTGTATTGTGAACTCTATATGTAGCAAGTCGTTGAGATACAAAAGTGGTTGTATAACTTAACGAATCACCTTGACTATGTTAGACGAATTCACAAATGTAAAGTCTTAATTAAAAATGTAAATCTGTTAAACCAGAATCACTTTAAATTTCAACCGAGTGTAACTTTTTGGGTGATCCTTTCCTTATATGTGGTAAGATTGTGTGTTCTGTTCTGAAAAGAGTTGTCTTTATTATCGGATTCTGTTCTTTTCATAATGAACAATGAAAAGGAAATTCGAATAATGACCGCTTAAATTTTACCAAATTTGTGAGCAAGCAATGAAATTCTTTGATGCAAGGTAGCGTTTTTTTCGGAGAATTAACTCGAGCACAGCTCGATATAATAACAGAATAGATATAACGAGCGAAAATGAGATAGGCGCAGTACGTTAAGCAAGGATGATAAAGATTCGATACAGAAAATTTCATTTTCAAACATTGTTACCTTACCTGTTAAACGTAACACTAGCGGATTGTTTATATTCTTCCGAATTAAAACGAGACCAGGCATAACGCAAATTGGACTAGTTTTTATCGATTCGAAGCATTCATATATTTGATTTTGTTATTTATGTTAAATCGGTAAAATTAGTCCGATTCACATCTTGTTTGGGCTCGCTTTAATCGAAAGAATCTCAGCTATCCATTGGTGCTACGATAATAAAACGAAATATACTGAAAGTTCAATTTTCTTTATTTGATGTTTACTTTTTTCAGTTACGGCATCCTATTGATATATATCCGCCGTTTCCTTTCTTTTCATTGTATTATATTTCTATCCTTGTCTACTGACAATATGATGAGGTTTCGTCGAACTCGAGACATTAGGAAATTTAAATTGGTATTGCTGTATATAAAAAAAATTATTTGTTATAAAATTATGAAAATTATGAGAATCAATGATGTTTCTATCTACAATAGATTTCAAAATATTTGTTAAAACCCCTTACCCCTTTAACTCGAATGTTAACATAGTTGTAAAAATACTTCACAATATTATAACCCTTAAATAGACGGGTGAAATTTGTTAACGTTAGTACTCGGCTGAGGTTTTTATGACACTTTATGATAAAGAAAAATTTGTAAGCGTAAGAAATAAAAATTTTTTGCCAAATTAACAATCTGTGATTTTACTAAACTTATGGTCGTTGGTTCCAAATATTTTTGTCTAAGCAGTTTAGTGTCACGATCATTTGCAAAGAATATAACTTGTGTATTTATCTCTGCAATACTCAGTGTTTGATAATGCATGACTGGGTATTAAAGTGTTAAGAAAATGAAAAGGACATGCAGATATGTCAACAGAGGGCAGTTTAGTAAATAAATATGCGAGCGTTACAGGTACGAAAATCCGAATGTTCCGTGACGAACATTTGAAAAATATTGAAAAACAGTAAAAGTTCTTTTGCGAGATGAAATTATGACAGAAAAATTTAATATTATTTAGAGAGATACTAAGACGGCCAGACGCGTGCAAGCATCTTAAGGCCCATTATACTTAACATTAGAACTACCGAGCATTTAATACGATTGACATGTAATCTTTATGAAAATAGCGGCAATAGATTTTTTCGGTTTCTTCGGATATTCATTATAATATTCGAGTGAAACTATTTATTTTCCAAATCATTTAGGATATTTAATATTTTTAAGGTACCAATATTTACGAAATAAGAAAACTGAAACCAACCATTTCGACTGGCACGGTAGTTCTAGTGTTAAAAAAGTATGCGTGTGGTGTCAGAAACACCCCACCCGCCTACTTAAGGGTTAAATATCTATAACCGTTACTTTAATGTTCGCTTGTGATACTTATTCGCTAGGTAGTTAAATGAATGTCATAATACCTTCTTTCTGCCACAATATTTGCTATTTTTCTATGCTTTATCAAATTGTTCAACCAATCAGCACCCATCAATCTTAAGCTTTGAAATAGCTATAACATCTATATGAAATCTTCTGCAACTTCCTTTTGTAGCAGACTCATTACAATACAGTAAAATGTGTACATACATAAATAGAGAACATTTTTTATAACAACGAATGAGCTATATACAGTAGTGCACAAATATTTACTGTAAAATGTCTCCTTTTAAAAATGATAATGTATGTGTCTTACATTATTTTAAAATACTTATATTTTTTTTTGTACGTGTGAAAGTGAGAATCGTGATTCTATTGAACTGAGTAAAAATTTCAATTATTTAATACAGTTGAAGTGTAGTATCATCTGATAGTAATCATCTGATTAATGGGATTATATTTAATATGTTATATTCAAAATAACAAAGACGCATTGGAATATTTTCTGTAACGGTTAATAAATTAAAGACGTGCATAAATAAATGTATACTGTTTAACCCGAAAGCTATATCTTTAATTTTCAACTATCGATATCTCGAAAACGAAATCTCATGTTGTAAAATAGTACAGGATCTTTTGATTTCCTTACGTGTGAGAAATACGCGTGTTTCGAAAGATCTCATATTTTTGAGATGCCTTGTATATACAGATTCGTCTCGTTAGTATACATGTAGAGTGTTTCATAAAACATAAGACATGTTTGGGGAGTTAGTTGTAAGCATTAAAATAGTAAAAAGAAATTGTTATACATACTGAAAAAATCTTGTAACTAGTGAAGTAACTAGGAAAGGTGTGATTCTATATGAAAAAATAAGTCGAAAATGTAAATTAAAATTTTTCATTTGAAACTTGTTATTGAAAACATTGGTTTCGAAAATTTGTCGAACAAAATTGCATTTTGCAATTGTTACAGAAAAATACAATATAATTTTTGCGGTAATAAGGTTTTAAATAAAAAAAAATTTTTTTAGTTTTACTAAGGTTTCTTACTTATTTTTACATACAACCCGCTGTGTTCAGTTAGAAGTTAGTCAAGTTCAAGAGTGCGATAAGTAAATACCTACTTATGTACTTACTTAGGCATGATCTTTTCGAAAAATTAGGTCTCAAATGAAAAAATGTTATTGTATATTTTCAAGTTATTTAGTTTCGTAGAATCATATTCTTCCTAATTGAACAACCTTCCCAGTTGCAGAATACATTGTACATTGACTTAATTTTATAGACATAAAGTATTGTTTATATTGTGAATAAAGTATTAGAAATATCCGTAGAAGGACAACAACCCAAAAGCATTGTACATTCCAAAACTGCTACCCTAATTTGACTTATCGCTTTACTATTATTTTGTTACCTAATGAACAGTACATAAAAATGCACTCTGCTCGCACATAAAAAATTATGCATTTGAAAAACTTACCTTTCCTACTATGTGATTTTCATTTCAGCCTCTTTATCTTTATGTTTTGCTTCGTCATTCATGATAGTCAATAATAAAACGTAACAAAATAGGCTAAGAAAGACAACATGATGTCACGATTACCAAATAGTGCTACAGTAATTCAAAATTGAAGGAAAGGGTACACTTTTTGAGAACTAGCTAGCACTTATACAGAAAATGTAAAATGTTGGTATATGTTTTTATGTGTTGGCTGAATATATCTTTGTATGTACGTCGGTAACAAAATAATAGTAGAAAAGTAGATTACAGTAGTATAATAAATGAGAATATTTACCCTGCCGTTAGATTGTTGCCTTACTATAGATGCTTCTCGTGGTACTTATGTCGCGGTACAAAAAAAAAGTTTAGTCTGTAAGATCAATTCTCCAAAAGTGTCCAACATATTACGAAACACCTTGCATAGATATACACATATATAGATATGTATATAAAATATAGTACAATCACTATATGACATATATGTATATGTATGTTACATACTTCTTTATAAATGTTTCCTGAAAACACATTTGTTTGTTTCACATTTACACAGTACATAATAAATAAAATACATTTTGAATTTATATAAATTATTTCTGAAGACTGAAGAAGCGTTTTCATGAATAAAGTTTATTCTATAACTTGTAGCCCAAATTTTAAGCAACAAAGTAAAAACAATTTTTCGATGTTCACATGGGGGTGTAATTTTCTTGGCCGTCAGAATATTCGAATATAATTCGAGAAAGATGATATTTATAAATTATAGTTTTTATATCTACGTATTTACTTTGAGATTGTTTTCTTAAAAAAGAAAAAAAATACATATATACACATGATATAATAGGGAAAATATACAACGTTATGCGTGATTTATATTTAATTAATAAGTTTACTAACTTTAAATTATACACAAATACGTAAATTTATTGCTATAACGTTTCATACACCATCCTCGACGCAATTCCTGTTGTTTATGAGGAAGATCGTGACTATGCTGATACGCAGGGGCAATAAAAAAAGGTGTACTGTTTGTTCAAAATGTAACTCCCTAATTCTTAGAATGACTTCTCTGTCGACATGCATAATAATATTCCGAACTGTATCATGTACAATTACAAGTACATGTAGAGCTGAAAATATTATTATGTAATACTTTTGGCCATTAAGAAAACCCATACCCTTTAAACAATACCTTCGACCGGATAATTATCAGGATCTTTGTGCAATGAATCCTCTGTGAAAAAATCTTAAATCTTCGAATTAAAAATTTGTTTCCTAATACATGCATTTGATAATTTTATTAACGATACGTTTTCAAGGAATTTTCATTATATACAAATGCAAAATTGTTTGTATCGCAAAAACATATAAAGACTAATCGGTGTAGTTTCATTATTTTTTTCCCTTTATCGTTACAAATAATCTCAGATGAGACTTTATGGAGTAAATGCTTGTTAAATGATTTTTTCATCGTTTTATCTTCCTTTATTGAATTATTTAATTTTCTAACGTTTTAACCCTCGTCATCTAAAAACGATACTTTTCTTTTTGTCTAAAAGAAGTGGTTTTCGTAAAATCTACTGGCCAAAGTATACTTACTCTTTTATCCAAAAGTAGTATGCACATCTGTCACTTTTAACTACGATAAAATAGGCGTAAATATTATAAATAAATTTTAATGGTTACTCTAAACCGGAACCCTTCGTGCGAACTAAAAAATCTTTGCTTGGTTGTAATGAATGCTTAAGTTGTACAAAAAAGTAATTATAAATAAATCTTTATACTAAAATGAAATGAATGAACTCAGCCTCTGACTAGCATATATCTTTCAATTTAGTTTACAAAAAGCACTTCCTCACAAAGGGATTAAAAAGTATACGTTTTCTCGAGACGCGGATAAATTTAAAAAATAAGAGAAATAGGAGAGGGAAGCAGGAACGGTTGGCTTTTAGAATAGAAGCGATGTATCTAGTAGTAGACTCTGTTCAGACTTGTAATGTATTCTCCTCCGATCATACTTTGCCAATCACGTTGGTACTGAATTTTCATCAATACCGTGCCCACATTGTACCAACAACTTACAACATTTTAACAACTCTCTATTACTCCCAAAAGCTGCAGTTTGTCGACAGACGCGACTATAATACAAAGCAAGGGCACTTGATAAAATAACTTAGTCTTCTATTCCATAATTATCTATATATAACGTACATATATAAAACAAATTATGAATAAAGAAATAATAATCAGGTCGGTACAGTATTATGACTTTTACCTTAAAATTTTTTAACGCCTGATTATACAAATTGATATATATCACGAAAATGTAAGATCATAATCAATGCGCCGAAGTCCACTCTCGGAAAAAAAGAAAAGGAGCCACTCTATCAGGAAATTCTGGATTAAAAATGTACTCGTGCACAAGGGCGTATAATAAGCAGTGGACTACGATTCTATAAGTTTCTTTTTCATTTGGGAGCATCGTGATTCTTTTACGTTCTTTACATTCAAACCTTAGATCAATCAATCCAGTATAGATAAAGCCCACTCGTTTCAGAATAGGAACAACCAACCAAATCTCCTCGTGTATGTTAATCGTTATTAGTCATGATATAAGTAATAATGTTAATATTTGAATAAAGTAACATGATGTGCAGTCAAATATTCATGGAATACTTGGCTGCACGGAGGTCATGCGAGGATCCAACACAGTTATTTTTTCACTGTCAATGCTGTCCTTTTCTTTACACCATATATATATATTATATCGAATTTATTAGTATATATATATAGTATAAATATATACACGCACGCTAGTTTTAACAATCTTTCGTCACATTCATTCATGCATACGTAACTTCAGAAGAGAGGAACGTCTCCGCGAAAGCAAAGTCCCTCTAACTGCTTTAACGCGCTTTACTTCGGATATTTAATCTTCCATTGCTCTCTTTGTTCACCGAGTAATTCACTTCCAATGACTCCCGTTGCCGTACTCCTTTGTTTCCTTTTCTTCTTAATTTGAACTTCACTTCAATTCACAATGACTTATCACATGTTTTTTCTGTTTCTCTTATTTCTTTTTAAACACTATTATCAAGTCAGCTCACTGTTTGATACAAGGAACGATAATACAATTGAATATTTACGAACACAACATTTTTTTGTCATGCTGAATAACGTAGCTTGTCTTGTAGAAAGACGCAAGCTCCTGGACTTGCGGCGACCAGTCTCGCATCTCTCGCAATATTTTATATAGTCGGCCTGTAAGTATAGTTGTAGAAGTGGTGGAGGTGGTGGTGATAATGGTAGTGGAGTGGTAGTGGTAATCGTGGTATTGGTGATGGTGATACTATCCGGGTTTTTAGTATTTACAGTTCATTATAGCAGTTGCTATTTTCCTAAGATGAGATGGTGTGCAATTCAGTGTTCAAGATTTGGCATGTATTAGCATATCAAAGATTTTGTCTTTAGTTCCTTTCCACTACGAACTGCTGGACGCGTTCATTCCACTAAACATGCCAATGCTAAATGAAGTTTGTTGTTGTTGTTGAATCTGTTGTTGCTGTTGCTGCTGCTGATTATTCGCTTGACGGCCATGTTTTGGCACTGGAGGTTGAAGATATTCGTGTTTAGCTAATGTCAATACATCTATACGTTCTTCTTTCCTATACGCTAGGCAACTTCTTATGAAACTCTGAAACGTCGCAATATGTTAATGTTTTCCTTCAAATTTTTTACTCGATTAAAACATATTTAAATTCAACTAAATAAATAATAAGTTGTGTACCTTTGCTTCGTTGCTAACAGTTGGTTTATTTGCAAATTGAACTTCTGTAGCTTTCAGAATTGTGTTTTCCTCTAAAATTGTAGCTTGTGACTGATTATGTCCAAAAGGCTGAAAGAATGCCAGGTTCAGAGTTTAAAATTAAAATTCGTTCGATTAATATCATAAAAGAAATAAAAGACATTGAAATAATAATATAATCATCAATCATACCTTTTTACCATATAGACATTGGTAGAATATAACACCTACACTCCATACATCAACTTTTGACGATATTTTAGGAGGATTTTTGCCAATGACAAAACACTCTGGTGGAAGATACCTAAAAAATCACACAAAACATTTGTATTCTTTTACTTTGGAGAACTATCGATACATTTAAGTACATACAATGCTGTTTATTAGCTGGCATTTGTTATATCTAATTAGTTACAATACAATTTTATTGTAGTAATCTTTACTGGTAAAATTTTATAATGATCTTCTACTAATTATATCATGACGATCAACTAACTGGTGAGTCATTATATTCGATTGTCCGGAAAGTTCGTGCCGATTTTGAAGGAAAATTGAAACGCAGCTCATTTAAATTTTGGTATACACGTATTAAATTATATAGGTGCCATTCTATTTCACAACCTTTCTCCATCTTTCAGGCAACTTGAAAATTTCTTCCTTCCAGAACCTCTCAGGTTTTTCGGCGAAAAACTTTTCTACATGATTTTTTATCTCGACCACAGAATTGAATTATCTCGACGCCCTTCCGATTCGCTATTTCTAGACGTTTTTGTTCAATTGCTGTCTTTAATACGTCTAATTGGGAGCAACACTTTTCTGAATTCATCGTTTCGTTGTTTGGTAAAAGCTCATAATGCAGGATTCCTTTCCAATCCCACCAGGCACAGAGCATGACCTTCTTAGGATGAAGACCGATTTTTGGGGTGGCTAAAGGTGGTTCATTCCGCTTTCCCCAACACCTTTTTCGCTTAATATTATTATAAATGATGCATTTTTCATCCCCCGTTACTACTTGCTTCAAAAATGGTATCTTCTCGTTGCGTTTGTAGAGCGAGTCGCAAATGGAAATGCAATCCATCAGATTTTTCTCCGTTAAATCGTGGGAAACCTATACATCAAAACGGTTTGTGTAGCCAAGCTTCACAAAATGCTCGTGGATGATGGATTTTAATATTTTTAACATTTCTGCTATTATTTAACAATTCACGTGTCGATAACGTGGGTTATTCTCGATCAGTGTTTTAATCTGATCTTCATCTGTGGTGGACGGCCTACCCAGGCGTTCTTGATCTTCAAAGTTGAAATCACCAGCTTTAAACCTAGCAAACCACTTCTGCACAGTTCTTTCAGCTACAGCATCTTCGCCATAAACAGCGCATATCTTGTTTGCCGCTTATGTGGCATTTTTGCCTTTCCGGTAAAAGAAAAGCATTAAATGCCTATAATGCACTTTGCTTCCATTTTCAAAGGCGTATACAACTGACAAAAATTAACGTATCGTAACCAAACTTTTTCCAAATATGCCTGAAGTACCGTCTTTTAGAATATGTACGCATTTATTTTTAATCATACTAATATATTTAGATCTTTCCTTATGCCAACTACCGAAACTCGGCACGAACTTTCCAGACGACCCGATATTTATATTTCAAGTAGTAGGTGAATGTTACATAGAATATAATAAAACTAAATACAACAAAACAGCACAACAGTGTTGTATCTTATAAATTTTTTGTGTATGTTCTTTTGAAATTATATTTATAACATTTTATCCAGGTGACAAAAACAGCATTGGATTTTTATATAAGAGATATAAATTTATAATAATCTTATTACATTAAGTTATTTTACGTTATTCAAAAAGACATTCTTCCAAGAAAGACATGTAAGTCAACATTATCATTGGACTGCGGATCTTTATGACATTCACAAATTTTTAAAAGAGTAATTAGCAAAATAAAATAATAGATAATGCTTTTTACTGACAAATATTATAAAAAGCTTTACACTTTGGGTATTTTATAGTTTTTCGTATCGCATACATTCTATGGAATTAAAGACTTTTAAATTTCTCACGAATATATAAAAATCCGTACATGATCCAACGACGGATTGCTTTAGCAAACAAGATTATTATCCAATGACCCATCGTTGGATCCATCCATTCTAAATAGATTCATATGATATTTAAACATACACATACCAATAGGTACCAGCGCCTTGAGACGTTAAATCCATCCCATGATCTGGATTATAATTCTCTTCGTCCATTACTTTACTTAATCCAAAGTCTGTAATTTTTATCTCTCCACAAACATTGCCTTCAGTTAATAATATATTACCTACAAAACCATTAAATTGATGAAACAATTTATTACATATTATTAAGTAAAAAAGTTCAATTTTTATTTTTATATTGATTATAAAATGCAGTTTTTGAATATTTTCACCTGGTTTTAAATCATAATGTATAACCGGTGGCTTTATTTCATTGAGGTATTTCAATGCAGACACAACTTGCATAACAATAGATCTTGCTTCCCTCTCAGGTATAGTTTTATGCTAGATATATAAAATATTTCATAAAAAATTGTCCTAATATAGTAAATAGAATTGTCTACATAAATAATAATAGAATTATGCTTATATACACACCTGTTTGAGGTAAAAATCTAAATCATGGCCGTCACAATACTCCAACACAGTACAAAAGGAATTGGCATCAATTTCAAACACATCATATAACTTCACAACGCGAGGATGATCAAGAGCTTTATGAATATTATATTCTCGTAACGCATGTCTGTGTAAACAAATGTCAACATAATTTATCAGAGTCATATTTAAAAAATTTAATATAATATTATACATAGTCTAAATAAACAATCCATGAAAACAAATCTATTGCATGTTTATAACCACTAATTTTCTAGATTCGAATAAATTGCTTCATACAGTGAAATCTGTTCATGATACTCACTTAATATAATTAGCTTTCTTGTCCTCTTTCCAGTCTTTATTCAATTGATGCACTTTACAAGCAACGTACCGTTGCTCTTTTAAGTCAAATGCCTATAAAAAAATCATAGAAACTAATTAAATAACTATCTACTCTCAATAAGTCTGATTTTAAATAATATAATTTCTATACCTTATGCACTTCACTGAAGCCACCTTTCCCTAATAACATTAATAGAAGGTAACGTTCATTCAACACAGGATGTGAGTTGAATCTCGATTGGTCCTCGTTATGAATACGTTTCAATTCTCTGATGTGTAAGTTTCTTTCTCTTTCGAGTTTTTCCATTTCTAGTTGCAGATCTGCATCTTCTTTTTTCAACGCGCTTTGTCTTAACTAAAAATTGAGTACATAGATGAATACATGAAAAATAGATATATTCATAATGAAAAAATTCTTAGAATAATAATTAAATAAGAAACATGAATATTTGAAGTAGTACAATATTGACATTACCTTGAGTATTTCATCAGCTTCATAATACTCCTGCCATGTGTACGATCCAGGTACTGCATCTGGTTTTAAGAATGTAGCTTCTGTACCATTATGCAAGGATGGTTGTGGCTGACTACGTTTCCTACCAGTTTCACTATTCGATGGCCTCTTTTTGAGTAGCAACTTTTTTTGCTTATCAATTTCTTCTCGTTCAGTCGCAATTTCTTCCTGCCGTCGTGCTAATTCTTGAAACGCGTAACCATCTGTCCAATTTTCTTGAAATGTTGCACCCACCCTCTGAGTCACAAATTGACCCAATCTCAGTCTATTTTGCATACACTTTTGCCTAGCCTCCTTTTTTTCTATGTTTGATTTTTCTTTCAGTAGTTTCTTTACAACGTCTATACACTTATTTATATGGGATTTATGCTGCTCAATAAGTTTTTGTTGAGAAGCCATTTGATGCCTAAGTTCGTCTGTTGTCTGAAAATAAAATATATAATATTAAATTAGATACATCCAAATATAGAATATAAATGTTTTACAATAATAACTTATAATATTTAACTTACACATAAACTTATTCTATTTGCTAAATGATGTTCATAGTAGATAAATGAATATTTTTTATTTTACTTACTCTATTCAATTCATCAATTTTGTTGTTACGTAATTCTAAATCTGAAGAGGCTTGGGTTTCGAATTCCTGTATCCTCTGGCAAGTAAGTTCTGTCTGAAATATAATTAATATATTTTGTAGTAAGTATCGACAAATCACTGTAACATCTGATACATTTGTCAGCATAGTTCATAAATACCAGATACCTTGCTGCAGCCAGATAAAGACAACATAGATATTAAGTTGCTTACTTGATACATAGTTCTAATCTTAATTTACATTTGTAAGAAAGTAAGTCTTAATAATATTCAATTACAATAGGCTGACTCTTTTGTTATTAAAAGTAAAACTACAGGACAAAACCCAAACATATTTATAGAACATAACTATTATACAGGCAGCAAGGAAAACACCAAAAATGTATGCATGTAAATATAAAAAACTGTAGAACACTGCGCATTTTATATTTTTTTTCCCTAAAAATAGACAATGCCTTCTATGTTAAATTGAATTTATTGTTTCTGTAATCAAACAAAATTATAATGAAATACAAGAGTGATGAACATGCACACCTGTTTTTATTCTGACAAGTAACACAAACATAAAACAACTTAAAAAACTTAAATAACTTAAAAACAACACAAGAATTTTGGATTGAGGAGTGATATTACAAGGTAGCCTACACTCCTATGATAACAAATGGATACAGTGCTACAGTTCAGTCAAAAATTAACTGAATTTACTGCAAACATCTGACAAGAAATTCCCATTATAAAATTAATTACAGAAAATTAAATATATAAAGTAAATGTATAATTTATTTCTTAAGCAAAAAACTAAAGTAATTAGACTACTAGTGAATAAAATGGAAAGGATAAGTACACAATGTTCATAAATTGTGTAATTTTTATGTTCGAATATAGTACAAAGAATAAATGTTCACCATTTTTAATACAAGAATAAAAATTTATTTTAAATACTGTATTCTCTGAGCACAAAACTTCTTACATGTATAATATGTGTTTAGTTTTGATACCCATATTGTAACTCACTAATTATTTAATTAAATATAAAATGTAGAAATTCATTTTAGATTATTTAACGTATCTTTTACAATGCAGGAAAATTTATGAGTAGTTTAAAATGGGAAATTGTATGTAAGTGAAACTACAATACGTGCTTCACAAGTAGAACTTTTATGGGACGTTTCTTATAAAATGCTTGCAAGAATTATCGAATTTTGCTTACATTTGGGGTGTTAGTCTTCGCTTGCCTGACCTGGCTTGTCCTATTGAGGTTGGTAGGCCTTACCTGCACCTGCTTGCTGACCATCGAGCCTGCAGGTTGTGACGAGGCTGGTGGAGGAGGAGGTGGAGGTTGAGGATGAGGTCTTGGCGGCTGCATCAGTGAAGAAAATTCTGCCACTGAAGAATTGGGTGTTGTTACTTGCGGTGAAAGGAGTTGTTGAGGCGATGGTGGATACTGTAGAAAAATAATTACAACAAATGTCAAAAGGGACATAAAGGAACAAATTGTGTATATGTACATATGTATGTAGATACATGTGTGTTGTACTGAACCATGTAAATACATTTAAAATAGAGAATAATTTTGATATTTTATATTTACCATAGGGTAACCCTGTTGAGGGGAGGGACTCTTAGCACCACCATGCCGAATAGGGCTATTGCCCATATGATGCTTTGGAAAATACTCATTGATTTTTTTATTTTCAAGGGCAGCAACGGATCTAGACCCTTTACTCCCTACGGGTACCCCTGTAACTCCTCCACCTCCGTCATCAGCTTTACGCTTTCTTTTTCTTTCCGAAGGAGTCCTTGGTACCTTTTCTGGAGTATTTGGATCTACCTCCTTATCACTATGCGATGAGCCTACAGTTATATTGAAATGATCAAAATTATGCAATAACACTTTAATGATTTATATACTAATTAAACTATATATATATTTTCTATATTATAACAGCGAAGACATGCAACTCACCAGTGCTCATGTTCGAATCTTGACTATGAACCGACTGACCAGAGTTTACAGTTGATTGGGGTGCCATCTGAATTTGTGACCCAGCAGACATCTGAAATAAAAAAATACTGATGTAAAATAATGCATTCATGTATACCATTATGCAGAAATATTACAACAAAATAGAAACAAAATCGATATCTTGCTAATGGAATTAGACATATATTGGTTAAAATACCGCAACGAAGGACATAGAACATATTAATATACGTTTATTTTATGCATTTGCCAATCTGAAAAATTTAATACAAGCCTGTTTAGAGAAACAACATGGAGAAAAGTATCGTATCACGAATCAAGATTCGATATTCGTAGAAGAGGTTACACTTCGAAAATCATACCGGCGCATAAAATATTGGCCAAAGAAGATCGCATATTATTAAAAGATACGGTATACTGCAAAAAGAAACTTAAACGGATAGAGAAAGACTTAGGAGAAAAACAGGAGAGTGAAGACGTACAATGTGTGAGTGAGAAAGAAGTAGGTTTAATAAGAAATTGTAAGACAGTATCAGAGAGAGTGAAAGAGGAAGAGAGGAAGAGCGAGAGGAAAAGAGAGAGAGAGAAGTGACACCTTCCAGGATAGCCTATGGTGGAGCCCCATAGTCGTATTTGCTACTTGGGTTAACAGACAGTATGTCAACCATAGACACGGTTTCGCGCACAATTTGTAGGTAAATGTCAATAGGACCGTATGAAGAAAATGTGCGATATATGTTTAGAGCTAGAGGAATCACGACAAAATGGAGGAGTGTAGCAGAGGGGGGCGGCGGAAGGGCAGGGAGTTTACGGGGCTAGAGAAGATGGAAGAAGGAAGGCGACGTAAAACAGAGAGGGGGTGGAAGTAGAGGAACAGAGAGAATGAGAGATAGAGTAGGGGGGTAGGAGGTAAGAACTCGATGGCAGAGGAGTGGTTGGATCGGGAACCACGAACGCATACCGCAAGGGGGCAGTTTTACTCACTGCTTCACTTCTGAACTCTGGTCAGGCCGGCTAGTTAACTGGCTTTCCTATCTTACATATTTTTTTACATACGCACCAAATACAGCCACTAAGCAAGTTGGCTTCGATTAACAGCAACGATAACCGCGGCGACACACTACGTCACTAAGTTTGTGACGTCGACACTCCGATAAATTACGCACTCTTATTATTATTATCGGCGGCGTGTCAGCCACGTTTACTCTGCGCGCGGTTAAGAACCCGGATTAATGGTAAGTCCTCATGGACGCGGTCACGCGTTTGCGCGTTTGCCAGGCGGAACGCACACGTTCGAATTCCACGCTCTGTCACTGACGTGCACACGCTACTTGCTTACAATTAAAAGATTGCTACCGTAAACCACCTCAAATATGGATGAATCCATACAAAAATTCACTCACTCGGACTTGCTTATCCCTTTAACACAATTCCTTCCCCTGTTTTCTTGTATCCTCCAACCCTCTTAATCGTTATAATTTATGAGTAATTGCCAAATTAATAACCCTTCAGCACATAGAATTCACGTATGTTTACGTATGGTTCATTATAGTCAAACACTGTGCTAATAAACGATAGACAACTTTTACAGTGATTACTTGATTACATTCATATTTACGTTCATGAAAAGCATTTTAAAACGTAATCATCAAGAAATGGAAGGTTTATATTTTTCTTATTTATAAAAAATAAGTTTTTCTGTTTCACGATCAATTCATCGTTTTCCCGGTTGATAAAGTGACATATTCAAGTTACGCACTATGTGAACGAACAATAAAATGACAAGAAACGATAAAAAATTTTCGTAACATTTCGTATTTTAATTACAGTCCTGTCAGTAGTTGGACGATGATTTTATTATCCCTTATATGACAGAACTTGCATTGTAGAACTTGCGATACATGTTAAAAATAGCTTTAGGGTCAATATTCTTTTAAATTAGAGTACTATGTGTGTTGCACGTTTAAATACTTTCACTTTAATATGATTACCAAATTTTTAGTTGAAATCTCACGATCGTTCATGAAAACAAACACAATGTTTACAACAGCACAACGCGACAATACAATGTATACATTGAAATTTCATTGGAGAACTGATTAATAACTGCGTAAGTGTGCTTCATTTCGCGGAAGAAATAACCTAAAGAATCATCAATCGCGACATGTGGAATAAACGTAATATCGAAGTGACGAGATTTTAAATTCAGATATTTCGCAAATCATGTATAGGTTTGCTTCGGCAACAGTAACATACGTCATACGTATATATTCTTAAACTAGTATACGCATTAGAACCATGAAATGAAAATTCGATTACTCTACTAGATAGTAGTAAGAAGTTGTATACTGAAAATATCCATTGTCATGTAGAAAATTCACGTGATCACAAGTCACCGGAAACAACGTCGAATTTCGAATGTGAAATTCGATAGTCTGCGAATATTTAATTTCACTGGTTCGTACTTTGCGAAACATGCCAAAAATCCAACAGGGGATAGGAAACTTCCTTATCGATGAATCAATGGCCGTGCCCGGAACTGGGCTAGAGGGCCGGGAAATCGTTCCTCCGGCAGCGATTTGCTTTTAAGACGGGCGGTCTGTATTCGTGCGGTTAAGCGAGTGTGCGAAACACTGGCGGAGAGTTACATACGAGAGAAGTGGTGACAAATACGAACCCAGTGAATCGGGACATGCGGATTTTACAGTGCACTCCTCTAACCCTGATGATCTGGCTTCGGTATGGTCATAACCACGAAGTCGTATCGAACGATTTAAACGCCACGCATAAGCTATCTTTTTGAACACTGACGAAGTCAGCTCACTTCGTGTCTTCCTCCACGGTGCAGTTCCACTTGTAAAAGTGGCGTGCAGATAGCACGCCGGGTAAACAGCAATAGTAACAGCACCAACAGCACCGAGTGCCGTCAATGGCCACGATAAACGGCATTACGCGTACGTTTCACGGGCCACAAGCGAGCCAAAATCCCCGGCGTGGACTCGCCTAATCGAAACGGAACTGGAACTGTCCGACCACCGTGCCCCGCTCGCATACTACTATCTAGCGGAGGTTTCTCTCTTTCTCCCTTTCTCGCTTGCTCGCTTGCTCGTTCTCGCGCTCCCTCTTTCCTTTCCTCTCTACTCCGCTCCTATGTACGGCAAATGAGCAACGCGCGAGATTCCGAGATGCGGCAAAAGGTGCAACCTCCACCTCCCCGCGACGCCACTACCGCCCTGCGATCACAGCAGACAGAGAAGAGAAAGAGAGAAATTTGGAGAGAGCGAGAGAGAAACACAGAGAGATCGAGAGGCCTATGAGAGGAAGTAGAGAGACAAAGAGAGGAAGAGAGATGAGGAGACGGAGGAGGAAGAGAAAAGAGTGAGAGAGAGAGAGAATGACAGGGAGAGGAAGAGGAGGGCAAACAGAGGTTGGCAAGTTGGTGGAGAGGGATGGACGGCGTGTCAGTTAGAAAGAGAACTAGCTGACTGAGGGAGAGGTTTCGCAGAGGGAGGGTCAGGAGCGGTGAAGGGAGAGGAAAAGGGAGCCGGAGGGAGGCATATGAGACATTCCTTCAGTGAACGGGTCGACCGAGTGTGAGTGCAAGCGAGCCGGTAAAATCGATGTGGCGAAGTGTGGCTCTGCCACTACGGTGTGCAAAGGGTGTGTTGTACCCTGTATGTGATCGGTGCTCTGCCTTGTGGCGTTATTTTGTAGATACAGAAATAAGTAGTACGATTCGTCGCATTTGTCTCTAAACCGATTCGTTCGGAGGAATTATGTGGAATATTTTACGCATGACAGCATTTTGATGCCAATGTCACATTATTTGTATAGTCTTTAATATCACTGAACTTACAGTATATTTTGAACACAGTTCACGCAATAATTTCGACATTAAGCTTCCGCTTAAATTATTTTTTCGTTTCTACGCCTACAATTATTATACGTAGGTATCATTGCTCTTTCGTATCACCATCCTCTCCACTTTTTTCCATGAGAAGTCATCACGGTCATTCAAAACACATCGTCTATCAAATTTGTTACGATACAATATTATATTTGAATGAATTATGCTGAGACGTCATGTTTCAAGAAACACTGAATTCTTGTTATTGGCAATCATTTGAAAGGGAAAAAACAAATATTCATACAATCCGATTGTCGGCATTTGATCGGTAATATCGAATTAAACAAGCTAACAATAGTAATAGGAAAAGTACATACCCGGTGAGAATACACGAGGTTGTCTAGGAGTATGCTCGGATTCGTTTGCAACACTATTTTAATTCGACGAATCTTGTACTGATTTGCACGATCGTGTAAGGCATCGTGTACATAGGATGGCACCTGCCTCAGAGTTGAACATAGAGCGCCCTCGCAGTGGTTTCACTAGTTACGCTCCTGCAATACGCCGTGCCGACGCGTGCTTCAGCCTGTGCGAGGGCGTATTGGCGAGATGTAGTTCCAGCGGAGGGGATTGAAAGAACCAAACGTACGTACGAGATGACGGCTCGACGGACGAACATAACCGGTCGGGCGGGAGGGCAGGCGGGAGAGTATGTCAGGTTTAGGTCGACCAGCAGAGCGTTTCTCAGTAGTCGCGTTTCCACACTCCGATGGGGCGGTCGTATCTTGCTTTCTTTGTCGTGTAATTAGATCGTGTGTTTTCTCCTTCGATTTTATAATTCTTGACTAAATACAGTCATACCTATTTATAATGCCGTCGAGCATTATTTATTGTGCTGTTGCATTATTATTTCGAGTTTGTGACTTGAAGCAGTTTCTGTGAAGAATCATGATACTTGTGATCGAATAATAATAAGTTTCTTAATAATATATTTCTGTAAATTTCTTTAGTTTTTATAATTTGAACTCGTTAGTCGTTCTTTTGTTACATTGCGGGAGCATCGTATCATAATTTGGCTTTCACCATATCTAACTTTGAGTGTGTTACGACGAATCGACGGAAAGTGTCGCTAACATTTGGTTCTAAATGCTGCTCGCGCTTGAACTAACCAACAAAATGGAAGAAGCTTAACATGTTCAATACGCTGCAATTTTTCATATTCTGCATGACGTGTTTCACCTAATGGTGAATGAATAAATTAGGTGTAGGTTAACCGTGACTCGCACCGCGAGATAAAGCCTTAATTTGTGGATAACAGGTAGTCTATGCTTTAAATGTGTTAAATACACATTACATTAACACAAGACGAGATGAAAAATGTACAAACAACGTTGCGATATTTCGGAATCTGTGACAACGCCGCATCAGTGTATTCCTTATTTTAGTTAAATAAATGGGCTAGTTTTACATGTAAACGCATTTTCTTGGCTCGTTGACTTTTAAAGTTTGTATGTAATAGAAGTGTTACAAATTTTGGTCCAAGATTTTTAATAGTATTACTGCTAAACAAATTTTTCATTTTATTTACAAAAAATAAGTGCTCGATTACCATGAGTAACACGTATCCCTAACGTTATTCAAGTGAAAATTTTCATTTTTGAAACGTAAACAAATGTAAAAATATACAAAAATATTCGAGACAGTGTCGTACACCGAAGTTTTCTTGTACTGCAAAGATCGATTTGTTGAAATAATTTGCAAGAGAGTATTTGAGAAAATGTCGGGGCAAGAAAGTGTAAAAGTGAGGTGAATACGCGTATGGCTGACTCCTAGACCTTGCAATGCCATTCGATAGCAGAACACAGAGCGACAGTGGCAACAAGAGACACGGCTGTTTGATGTGACGGCAACATAGCAATAACTATCCCCACTCCCGAGTGGAAGCGGCCAGTGTTTCCCCCTCTTTCGGTTGGCTTAGCCCCCTCCAATGAACTCCCAATAGGTCGCACACTCATTAGCCCAGTCGCGCGCGATTCTCTCTCTCTGGCCCGTAATGCCGCATGTCGCCGGCCGATCAGCTGGTCGGCCACGCGGAGTTGCCTCGTTGTCTCGGCTTGCGCGCTGCGCACCGTTTGCCCACGCGGTTTTCTGTGTACACTGTTCCAGGGAAGGTTAGGTACCTCCCGATCTTCCATGAAAGCGGCGCGGAGCGGAGCAGCGTGTGCGCACTGCACATTGCAAGGACGTCACTAGATTTTGCTTCAGTTCAGGGATGTCGCTCGCAGTACCAACAGTTATCTAACCCTTTTTTACTGTCTTTTTACTCTCCGTTTTATGCAATAAAGGATACGTAATTTTTTAAAAAGAGGATGTAATTTCGCCTAATGACACGTCCAGTTGAACGCACCAATTAAGTTATTTCGCGAATGAAGTTAAATATGAAATTTCATAGATATTTGTAACTAATATGTTATAAAATATACTCGAACGCGATTATTAACGTAGTATGAAAAAGATTGGGATCAGCCGAATTAAAATGAACTTAAGTATGTAGCGGTTGGAATTTGTAAACGTGATTCGAACAGCAAATAAGATATAGATTGCCAAAAATAAGATAATCCTATGTCTTGTAATTGAGATATTATTATCTCAGTGTGATGTAACTTAATTCACGCATAATTCTAATGTAACTCATTTTATACTATACACGAATATAATTTTCAACGTACATAAATGCAAAAATGAAAAATCAAGAAGTGAGTAAGTAGGTAGGAACACCAAGTTGTTTTCCTTAATCACAAGACAATAACTCGAGAATTTACTTTCGTTTCTTATGATTCCATTAAAGGAACATTTTTTATTATAAAATACGAAGAAACACTTCAATAGTTTTGTTGAATAAGGACTCCGATACAGTGTTGTGTTAATAAATGAATTCATTGTAAATACATATTGTGACAATTACAATACAATCGTACGAAATAATTTACAAGTGGACGGTATACGACCACTGATGAATCTAGTACTCAAAAACTAGAGAAGTATTGTATATTATGAAAAATAGGTTATCTAGATATTGACTTTGATCTCCTTTAGTCGGGTAATAATAATATAGCAAAATTTAGCTACAGAAGACAGTGTATTTGATGTATTTAAATGTGCAGTAATTTTTCAAGATAAAAATGCTTACAGAATGATATTGGTTTAAGTAATTTGTTTTTGCAGTGATTACCGCAGTATAATGTTGAAATTTATATAACTTTATGAATATTTATATAGATATACTTACGTACAAACGTACGCGCGCCTGTGTGTGATATGCATACATAGTTGTTACATAGTTAAATTTTGAAAATAACTACCTCGCAGAATTAAATTATAATTAGTAAAACATAAAATTTCTATTTTGTTAATTTATTATTCAAATATTTTACACATAATACCTATTTCAAAACGAAAGAAACCGTATAATGCTACTTTTCTTAATGATGTTATTTCATGTTAGATTTGCGAACTAACGCGAAGTAAATATTTACAGGTGAAGAGCTCACAAGCAATCTAACATTAGTAGCTTAATGCTTGAAGCGTTCGGTGGCGCCACTTTAGATTCTTCGTATTGTGTCTTGCTGCCACATTGATGTTACTATCATATCATACCAAGCATTTTCAATTGGTCATGACTCATAATTCATTTAAAGTTCTTTTCCATGTGTTGCTATTTTAATAAACTTCATTCAAAGGTGCCTATAATAACGTAAGAAGACTGAAATGTATCATGTACCGCAGATTCGAATTCTAATACATTTATTCTTCGAATAAAACTTCTAAGACATCGTGGGGAGCTTAATTGAATAGTTTATCTATTTATTACAAATACAACTATAATTATTAGACATTTTCAATATTTCAATGATGTTGATCTAGATGCTCTGATATGGAAAAAAATATGTAAACATGTTTGATTTATAAATCATGTAGATAATATGTTTCTTAATGTACGAAACCCATTATAATTTATACTTAACAATTTTTAGATAACTTTTAAGATAATATTTATACATTATGTAACTTTGCGTTATTGCATGATATATTAATTAAGTTTAACTGATTAATTACTTGTTGTTTAATTAGAACATTTATTCTTCCTCCATAATATATATGACAAATCTATTTATTTAATTCATATAACTTTATAGAATAAATAATAAAGGAGAAAATGTCAAATTTCCCATCGTAAAAGTATTCGCACATTTAAAGTATACATAATTTTCTTTATAATTTCGATACTCATTTGGGCACTTTTTTTTCCATGTCGCAAATAATTTTTGTTAAATAATCCGTTGAAATATTTTTCTTTTATTCCTTATAATCTGATCTAATATTGTAATGAGTTTCTACTGATAATATGTATTCCTTGTCGTACGTTTCATGCTTCCTCACATACTCCTGACCTTAATTTGAAGCTATTCACGTTTTAGTAAGTAATGCTTATAGGCAATTTTACAGATTCACAAAAATAAATATACCAAATCATATTGTGAGATTAAACAGTTCAGTAATTATATAGACGAGCCAGCATTTCACCGATTTTGATGATTCCTGTGTATGTCGTTGAGGGCATAATTTTGAGCAATTGTTTTCTCTATACGTTACTCACGGTAGATTTTAGTTTTTGAGATAATCCTGAAAAACTCTTGCTACTACTACATCAAATTCTACATTCATGATGGCGTCTGCAAGAGAGCTACAACTATAACCGCATGTTCGTTGCTTCGGTGACTGCTTATATCAATCGCCCTCGATTTTTTCAAGTTACGTATACTCTTCCTGGCAAAAGTTCCATCCGTTCTACTCAATTATGGTAGTTTCAAATGTTGTTTCGTACAATATATAGAATTATGTTTCATTTTGATAATATACATTGGAATTAGTAGGGCTAGTTTGTTTTGGGTGGAGGTGTAGAGAGTTCAAGATTATTGTAAGTTATTTTTCCTAGTTTAAAATGAAATGGATTTTATAAAAATATAAGATTTTTGGCAATTATACAGTAAATATATACCACCCACCCCCTCAAACAAAACTAGGCCCCTCAATATCGATTTCTATTATCTGAATAAAACTTCTATATATTGTACGGAACAACATTCGAAACTACCGCGATTGAATAGAACTGTTGGAACTTTTGTAGAAGAGAGTACCCATGTAAAATCCGGGAAGCTCGAGGGCCGAAGTAACGAACGTGCGGCTATGTGAACTGTCTCACGAACGCGCTCATGGATACAGAATACGGTGAGTAGTAGCAAAAGTTTTTGGCGAATATGTTGGAAACTAAAGCCTACCGTGAGTAACATATCAAAGAAAAAGTTGTTCAAAATCATGCTCCCAACAACATATTTCAAAATCATCGAAATCGATGAGAGTGTAGCGCATTAACAAGTTAACCGTAAAATTTAACACTAAACTACCAGACGGGTCAAAATGACCTATTCCTGATTTCTTCTTTTTACAGTTATTAAAAAGATGACATATGTATCTCTGGGAAATTATTAAAGAATTTGATTTAGTAATACGCAAACTGAAATTAAAGTCTCAATAGATGCATTCTTGGACTTTCTATAGAGGAATTTCAAAAAGTCAATTTAATTGCTTAGTAGTTTTAGTGTTAATAGTACATAATGGTACAGTATATAATATTGAACATACTTTCACATATATGTTTGAAAATGACTTCAAGAAGCGGTCATTTGTATAAAGAGAGCTGTTCAAAATGATAACTCTGATAACATATTTCTAGATTATCAAAGTTATCGAGGAGTTACTAATTTATGCATTGTGCGTAAAATTGTTAGAACATATTATAATAAAATGACTTTAGAAAGTAAAGAATATAAAGTTATAATATTAAATATTACATTTGTAGTTCTAATTGCAAGTATAAAACAAAGTAAGCTAAAAAATAATTTTCAAGTTAACGACTCACTATACAGGGTGTATCTAGTAACTAGGACAGGCTATAACCCTTTTCTTGTTGAAGTTAGGAAAAAGTCATAAAAGAAATCTTTACTCTATTTAACAAGCTCTGTAATAATGTGACACAAGTTCTTTCATAAATGCATTGATGCAGTTGCAAAGTGAAATTGCACTTTTTTTAAAATTAAATTGTATGCATTTTTTTTACATAAATGGTTTCCTTGCATCATTTTGCGTAAGAAAGGTTAAAGGTACTATCATTTAAAACTGAATATTTTTCGAAATATTTTACATTGAATGCTCAATGATGCTGTTTCTCGGTTCTATATTTGTTTCATAAATGAAAAATAACAGCTATAGAACCGACACATAACTGATATAGCGCAGAAACAATATAACTAATAACGGTTATGACTTCATTTCAGTTTTCCATAATTATTGGAAGTGTATATTGAATAAATGTATAATAAATGCTTATGATTAAAAAGGAATCCATGTAATAAACATTATGAGTTTATATAGAAAGTAATAATTCATTTTCCTTTTGTTTAATACGTTCGCAACCAGTGTCACATGTTTGTGACGCTCTATCATTTTGTATCTTGCGTAAAGAAAATTAAATTACTTTTACATGTGTTTGTAAATAAAATCGTAACACATGGTGCAAGATGTTCGAAGTTGAGGCGATTCTGTTCCTGAAATTTATTATTTTTTTAGAACGACCATTTGTTGCATTCAATAAAATATTTTAACTATGAAGATTGCTACTTAAGCAAGCGCTGGTCTCGAACGTGTTGAATAATAATGCAGTTATAATCTTTGAACAAATACTATTTTTTTAGTATGTAATATCAGAATCGAACTTTAGTCCTATTCTTTACTGTTCCCTTCCATATTTATTATTATTGACAGAGTGCCAATATGTATACAATATTTTTTTTATATTTTTGTTTATGTAACAAACATTTGTTAGGAAAACTTATTATTTTTTTTTACTTTCATAAAATTACATTTTTATAAATTTTTATAAATTTGTATAAATTTAATTTTATAAAATGAAAAATTATATTTTACAAAGATACCTGTATTTTTAGTAAGAAACTACTAATTTTAATAATACCTACAAGAATATTAATGTTCCAAAATATTTTTTAATGGAACCCAAAAAAATGATAAAAGTAAAGTGATAGTTAAATTCATCAGAAATACGTTAGAAGATATAAACAGATTCGTATATGCTTTGCGACCATGATGAATTATTTCATGACGTTTTGCCTTTCGCAGAACATCAGAGATGTATCCTGCGACACAATACTGTTCGTGCACCACCACGAACGAGATATTTCGCTTACAAGGGAACCTTTTCAACCAGCACACACCGATTTTGATGAAATTTATGTGAAACGTAGTTTTGAAGAAAATATTAAACACGTATTATTTCTTATCGGTCAACATCTACCTTGAAAGGGTGACAACATCATTCAATGTTCAGGGTTAGAAGTACACTTTTTGCAGTACTTCTGAAACTAGGGGGTGTAAAAACATTCTTTTTTTTTAAATTCTTCGACTCGAAATGAACAATTCAGATTTTTTTTATACACTCAGTAGTTTCGGAGATAGTGTAAATAATATACTTTCAATCTTCAACTTTGAGGGGTGTTTTCACGCCTAGATGTTGGTCGATAAGAAAAAATACGTGCCAAATATTTTCTTCAGAACTATGTCTCGCATAAGTTTTATCGAAATTGGCGTGTGCTGATTGAAAAGGTTCCCTTGTTAGTTCTTTACTGGATGATGAGTTCTAATTCAAGATATATTTTATAAGACAATAAATGAAAGCGTATATTTTTCAATAATAATTTAATTAATTTGCGAAGGGGTTAACTTCCGTGAATAAATCTTTTGATGTACTGGCTCTCAAGCGAAGAATGTTCGCTCTTGGCTGAACAATTCGATATACGGTATTCACTGTTTGCAAACGTATACATATTGCCGAGAAAAATAGGTTACAAATTGTTTGCGAGTTGTTCTTGAATAGTAGTCTGAGTCTAGCATTAGGTAATGATTAGAAAATAAACGACAAATATTTTTCATAAGCCTTACGCTTTGTACTCTTTAGATATGGCAGGATCATACAAAATGCTTAAGTCACTGCTTCTTCAACGGAAATTTCAATTTTAAACAAGTAATTTACTGCCATTATTTAACTTTAAATGAATGGAATATGTAAGTAGATATATTGTTTTATTATAAATATATATAGTTATACACAAATCATTAAGAAGATGGTTTCGTCATAATAATTTAATATTATTTTAACAAGTTCCGTACCACGTGTACCATTTGTGGTGTCGCGCAATTTTTGTAAGAAATTTTTTGTGACCAAAAACATAATACCAAATATGTACAAAAGTAAAAAACTTGAATGCAATTTAATATTTCATTAAAAAAATCAATGCACTTTATAAGCCAGATATAACTGAAATTTCTGAAATTTGTAACTGGTGTTACAATAGACCTAATATGTCTTCGGTCAGTTTGCGATCGACTGCAAAGCAGTGTAGAAATCATTTTTTAATTAAGAGCGTTAGAAAGATACTCAATGAAAAAGTTTTAATGTTACATAGGTATTTGAAGGATTTTAAAATGTTCAATTACCAAATTGAAAAAAGTAAGTACAGTATTGGTATCTATGTTCCTTAATACTAAACCTACCGAGCAGTTAAATTGACTTTTTGAAATTCCTCTATAGCAACTTCAAGAGTGCATCTATCGAGACATTAATTGATTTATAATTCATTTTGCGTATTGCTAAATCAATCTCTTTAATAAGAGAAATATCACGTCTGGTAGTTTTAGTGTTAAAATGTACTTTTCACATTCAAGTTGCTTTTTTATCTCACGCTGAAGTATAGATTTTAAACGTTTTTCTAAATTATGACACGCGGCGAAAAACGGAGCATTTTACTGTGAGGTAAACCGGAACGCCTTATAAGGATGGAAATTATAAAGCGTTACAGTCGAATATCTCCGAAAATATTGATTATACGCAAAAATGTTTCAGACGAAAGTTGTTCAATACCTAGGGGGACATTATGTGGTGGAACTTTTATTTTTCCTGGTGTACACTCCAAGGTGAGGTGAAGGTCAACTTTCTTTTTTTAAATAGAATAATACGTTTTTTATCCACCATAGAATATAGCGTTTTAAGACGAATTCAACGACCTATGACTCAAGGTCATTCAAGGTCAAACTTGCAGAGAAATGGAGAAAACGTGTGATTGTTTTATTTGTACTTTAGTGTATGTTCAAAATGTACATCTCTTACTTCAATGCACTTCACAATTCTTCTTCTTAATGATTCTCTAACTTTGCTCAACATTTCAACATTTATCTTAGCACAAGCTTCGCGTATTCTGACTTTCATGTTTTCACACGTCGTAGGCTTAGTGGATATTACCCAGTTTTTAATGTGACCCCATAGAAAGTAGTCGATTGGTGTTAAATCCGGCGAACGGGGCGGCCATTCTGTAATTTTTCCTGCATTCTCCTAATACCATAAACATATCAAAACAATCTTGAGACATTTCCATTTTCACCACTTATTTAAGTACTATCGTTCAGCGAAGGATATCTTAGCACGAATGGTAATGAAAGTAAACTGACTATCTTGCAGAAGAGCACAGTAATACGTAAATACGTTTGTTTTCATTTCACTGATAATGACTTTGTTGTTGTCCTGAGTAATACTGACATTGACACATGTTATGTTTTGGTGTGAATGTTCGAAGGTACGAACTAAAGTACAAATAAAACGATCATACGTTTTCTCCATTTCCCTGCAAGTCTGACCTTGAATGACTTCGAGTCATAAGTCGTTGAATTTGTCTTAAAACGCACTATTTGATGATGGATAAAAAAACTATATTTTTTTTTAAGTAAGAGATTATTGTAAGTTATATATATGAGTGATGTATGTGCCCGAGTATGTTGTGTTTGAGTTGCAGAGAGTGAGAGTGTGTAAATGTGTATGCGAGTTTTTTT